AAAAAGATAGATGGGGCAATTTAAGTTAAGAAAAGCTGGCAAGAAACAAGCCAAGCTAAGGCTGGGCATTCATAAGTAAGAATAAGACTCTGTGTGTATTTATTTGGGAGCTGGGTAGCGGGGGCCCCCCAAAGAACCAAAGAGCAAAGAATAATAAAAATCAACAATAGGGCAATGTTCACAACAATACTAGTGTTTAGAAACATTAATTAACGTTGAAGGAAAAACATAAATTGTCAAGTGAGACTAAGTCTTTATGAACTATCTAAATTACTGCATCCTACCACTGTCTTGTTTCGCTTTCTGTTGCTGTGATAAAACACTGACCAGAAGCAACTTGAGGAGAAAAGGCTTTGTTTAGGTTACAGGTTACAGTCCATCATCGAGGGAAGCCAAGGCAGGAACTCAAGCAGAATCAGAGGCATGAACCACAGAGGAACAGTGCTTATTGGCTGACTCCCTACAGTTTGCTCAGCCTGCTTTCTTACCACAACCCAGGATCACCTGCCCAGTGGTGGTACCGCCCACAGTGGGCTGGGCCCTCTCATGTCAATCATTAATCAAGGAAATGCCCATCAAACATGCCCATGGGCCAATCTGATGGAGAAAAATTCCTCATTTGAGGTTCCTTCTTCACAAGTAAATCTAGTTTGTGTCAAGTTGACAAAAAAACTAACCAGCACACCCACTAACCCCTTGTAATATACTGAGTGATAGTCACCATAAAGGAGAATGCAAGTACTCACTGATTGACCTTTGTTTGTGGAAGTGGACTTACCTTGTCAGATGCATAGACAGCATCAAACAGTCCCAGAAGGGTGACCGAGATTCCCACAGCTGGGCCGTTTACTACTGCAACCAGAGGCTTGGGAAAATCTATAAAACTGTTTACAAATTCTCTAAAGAAATGGAAATAGGAAAGCATTAAACATCCCCAAATGGCACCACTAACTATAGAAAGGAATGTATAAATCTGATATGACATCACTCTATAGAGGCCACCTCTCCAGATTGGCCCAGGATCCCTGTAAATGGCACCTAATAGAATATCAGGTCATGATCCTACAGGCTAAGGACAATTCATACCCTGGGCAGTGAGTTCAAGTGTGACCTGAGAGACCATGGTGGGGGACTACGTGCGTGACTGCATATTACAGCACAGGGGGACGGAGAGACTCGGCAGAACTGGGATAGGAAGCCGAAGCTTCAAACCTCCTTCAGCCTTTCAAGACTACTTCCCGCTTACAGCCAGCACTCACAGCCACTGTCTATTCACCCCGCTGCATGAGACTCCCTCAGCCTCTTTCTCACCTTACACTTTCCAGTCAACCTCATGTAGAGGGCAGGAGGAGGAGGATCTGACAGGGAATCACAAGTAAGCGCATCAGCACAGACAAGTGGGCATTTTACAGATGTGTTAAGAATGAACCCTCATGGGGGGAGGGATGAGGAAACGACTCATTGGTAAAAGCATTTGCTAGCCAAGTGTGAGGACTGGACTAGAGACTGAATTCTCAGAATCCCCATAAATTTTGGGTGGGTGTGGAGGCCTACTTGGAATTGGTCTCAGAAGCTGGAAATGGGAGCCTAGAGTAAGCATGTGAGTGAGCGCTGGGTTTGAGAGGTCTTGGTTCAGTGACTAGAGTGAAAGAGTGTGCCAGCTAATGTTAAGTCAACTTGACACAAGCTAGCGTCATTTGGGAAGGAAGACTCTCAGTTGGAAAATGCTTCCATAATATTGGGCTATAGGCAAGTCTGTAGTGCATTTTCTTAATTAGTGATTGACGTAGGAGCCCAGGCCATTGTGGGTGGTGCCACCCCTGGGCCAGCAGTCCTAGATGCTATAAGAAAGCAGGCTAAGCAAGCCAGGAGGGAGCAAGCCAATAAGCAGGACTCCTCCATGGCCTCTGGATTGTTCCTGCCTTCAGGTTCCTGAGCTTGTTTCCTTTGGTGATGGACTGTCATGTGGAAATGTAAAAGGAATAAACCCTTTCCTCTCCAAGTGTTTTTGGTCATAATGCTTTATCACAGCAACAGAAACCCTAACTGTGACAAAAAGCGATGAAGAAAATGTCTGACATCGACCTCAGACTGAACATGCACATACATGCACTCATACCCACACACATGCTCACCACAAACAGACACATGAAACTTGGGGCGGGGGAGAATGAACCCTCTAGGATCAGACAAACATTACTCTTACCTCAGCACCACAGCACCCCTGCTAGCTGCCTCCTCCTTTCCGCCAGAGGCACTAGTGAAGTTAGTGAGGTCATTCCCACTGCAGTAGTAGTCACCAGTTCCTGTGAACAGTCAATCAACAGAGCCATGGTTCCTCCGTGTATCTACTCATTCCAGGGCTGCTGTGTATCTGCTGTGTGCAGGACTCAGCCAGGCACTAGTAGAACACTGGGGAGCCTCATTTACACACTAGGGACTAGCAAGGACATAATTAAATACAGATGGTGTGACTACAACGTGACAGATGGACATGTGGTCTGACTACAGAACAGGGTTGGTCTATTGGGGTGTTTAGGGTGGAGCTCACTCAGAAAGGGACAGCTGGACTGAGAGCTGAAGAGCAGGCAAGACTAGCAGAGATGCAACAGGACAAATGAGGTTCTGTGTCTGAGGTCTCCAGGGTCTGTACAACTGTTAGACTGTAAGAAGAAACCCCAGGGCTGAAGCAGAGAAAGAACAGGGTTCAGGGGGAGCTGGTGTAGTCAAGATGAGAAGCCAGACTGTGTGGGACTGTCTAGATTACAATAAGAACCATTGTCTCTATGTGAAGAGCCACTGAAGGTGTGTGTTTATTAAAGTATAGTTTGCCTACAATGAAACAGTTACTTCTTAATGAGTTTTGTTTTGAGACAGGATTTGAAGTAGCCAAGGTTGGCCTCAAACTCCCCATGTAGCTGAGGATGACCCTGAGCTGCTGATTTCCTGCCCCTATCCATTGATTGTCAGTATTGAAGTCCTGTGTCACAATGTCCATGCTGGGGATCAAACTCAGGGCTTCCTGCATGATAGGCAAGCACTCTATCTCAGGCTACTTCCCTAGTACCCTTAAATAGTTTTGATAACTGTAAATACAGGAGTGATCCCAGGCCAAAAGAAGACACAGTGTTTCTCCCTTATGTTCAGGGGATACATTCCAAGATGGTCCAAAAAATCCCTGAAACATGGGGATGGTACCAGGCTCTACAATATGCATTGTGTTTTCTCCTTTCCAGTTGATCCTCCATACCCTCAGGTTTTACATCTGTGGATTCAACCAACAGAAAATATTTGAGGAAAAAGAAAATCATCTGTACTGAATATTCACAGTTTTTTTTCTCTCATAACTGTTCATTCCTAAACAATGTAATGAATACTGACATAGCATCACTCTGTGTTAGGCATAATAAGACATCCAGAGGGGATTCAAGTTCCTTGAGATGTAATGGGCCTTCTATGCAAGTAGCATATGATTTTACATAGGGAACATGAGTGTGAAAAGTTCTATATTGATGGGAGTCATGGAACTAATTCCCAGAGGATGCTGAGGGCAATTGTAAGCACATAACTGTGACTAAGTTCAATATATAGATCAGGTAAGGTATTTACAGTAACAAACTTTAACAATAAAGTATATAAGAGTTATTTAAAACATACTGTTAATTTTTCTAGAAATTTCCACACATTTCTAGACCAAGGGTGACAACATGTAACTGAAATTTTTGGAGGCAAAACTACAGAAAGGAGCGTGCAGTGAAGATGCATTACTGTACTGACACCTGTTGTGGAATATTAGCTTAAGTTGTGTTACATTCGTTTATACTGTGGAATATTTGTTTAATGATGCAAAGATGTGTTGCATTCTTTTATGTTACATTTGTTTAACTCTGTAAACCTATGTTACTTTGGCTGCCTAAAATACCTGATTTGTCTAATAAAGAGCCAAACAGCCAATAGCGAGGCAGGAGAGAGAAATTGGCAGGGCTGGAGGGCAGAGAATAGGAACAGAAATCTAGAGCAAGAGTGGAGAGTAAGAAAAGGAGGAGAGGAGGACGCCAGGGGCCAGCCACCCAGCCACCCAGCCACCCACCCAGCCACGGAGTAAGAAGGAAAGAAAGATATATAGAATAAAGAAAGGTAAAAAGCCCAGAGGCAAAACATAAAGAGAAACAGGATATTTTAAGTTAGAAAAGCTGGCTAGAAACAAGCCAAACTAAGGCCAGGCATTTATAAGAATAAGTCTCCGTGTCTTTATTTGGGAACTGGGCGGCATGCCTCCAAAGAGTGAAAACAAAACAAAACAAAGAAAAACAACTGCAAAGACCTCAGAATGTTCCAGATGTTCTTTCTACCCTGCCATCCCAGCTGCCTGAGGCACTCATGTTCAGACTCCATCAACAGAGTAGAATTTCTGTCCAGTATCATAAGACATATAAATTGAACCATTCAATATGCACTCTTGCGTTTCATGAATTTCACAAAGTCATTCTATAAGGATCATCCATACTTTTGCATGTATCAAGCATTTGTTTCTTTTCTACAGATAGTTGAAAGTCAACCTGTTTTTGGACAGATGAGTTGTTTCTGTTGTGGCTTTTGTGAGCCAGATACCACAAGCTTTACTTTGCCAGTTAGGTTGGGACTTATGATTTATCAGTATTATCAAAGAGTGATTTTATTATGTGCATGATAACATGGTACATTTATAAATCAAACCACCGAAGCACTGGAGAAGACCTTCAATCAATACCAATTTTCTACCTAATAAGAGAGTCCCTAAAATAGAAACTGAGTAAGTCTGTGAAAATGGTCTTACCTGTGAAGGCAGTTATGGCTGAGCTGTCTGTGCTTGCATTCTTAAGTGCAAGTATAATATCCTGATACATCTGTGTGATTGGAAAGATAGGGAAAAGAATGATAAAAATGAGATCCATCATCCAGTGGACTGAGCCACTCTATCTGTCTGCAAGCCTTCTCTAAACACAGTGCCAAAGTAATTTTTTTTAAAGGCTTACTTATCTCAGTTTATATGTGTAAGTGTTTTGCCTTGTGTATGTTCGTGCACTGTGTAGTACCTGGCATTTCTGGAGGTCAGAAGTGGGTGTCAGTGTCAGATCTCCTGTAACTGAAGGTACAGATGATTGTAAAACACCCTGTGAGTGGCTGGGAAACCAAGCGCTGAGAGTGCTCCTAAGCACTGAGTCATCTCTCAAGCCTCAGTAATTGTAAAAAGAGGCTGCCTGAGAGGATTTCTGCTCCTCTGACAAGGGCTGGATGCACATGATGTACAGGTGCTGTGGCAGATGCACCAAATAGCCACTGTGTCCAAAAGCGAACAAGAGAGACACAGACCTGGAGCCACGCAGCTGGACAGCTACTGTGTCCAACAAGGATGGGGTGGGGGAAGGGAAGAGGTAGCACACAGCTTGCAGGAACTGTTGAGCTTGCTGCAGCAGGTGAGAGGGAAGGTGGATGAGAGAACTGTCCCTGAAACAGCATCTCAGCTGGGGCTTCAAGGAAGGAGAAGTGTCCTGGGCAGTCTGGGAAGTGATAACTAATGCAGAGGCTGGATTTCCGAGACTCTGTGCTGGGATCCAAGGGCACTGGCCCTGAACATTTCTGAAAATCTTGCTGTAGTTTTAGTGTGTTTTCAAAATTGGTATAGATTTTACTCTAATAAGATTCAATGTGGGTTAGAGTTACGAGGAGGGTGGGTATTTCTAAAGACTCTGGAAAAATAGAAGCATGTACTTAATATGTGAATAATGATGTGCCTGTTTCCCTCAAGGCAGGGGACAGGAAATAATTCCTGAGAATTACAGCAAGGCAGACATGGCAGCCAGGTGACTAGCTAGAGCCAGGGCCAGGAGAGAGATGGGTCAATTTAGATTCTCCTGCTTATCAGCTATAAGAACTTACCAAGTGACTTCTCAACCTGCTCGGACTATTTTGTTAAATAAAAGTGCCGGGGTCCTCTGTTCAGGAAGTCCTGAGTCTTATTGTTATAGCGTGTAGCTGTACGACCCTGCTTACACAGAAATAACTCAGGACAAGCCTTATCAATTGGAAGGCAGACAAGCAACTTTACAAGATTCTTAAACCTTCACATGAGCATGCTGTCCCACACTGCAAATGGCAGCCTTGACCCCCAGTTCACCTCCAAGCATCTGATAAACTTCCTATAGTCAGGGGAAGGGGCTCAAGTGATTAACTTATTATCAATGTAGTTCTAGGAGAAATTCAAAATTGCCCTCAGAAGCAACTCATTCAAACTGAGCTAATACTGCTCTGCTGAAGATAACGTCTCTCTCCATGCTTCCCTCCCACAAATGGTTCACAAGCATGGAAAAGACTCAGGATTTATGATCTCCTTAGGGGGTTCTGTGCATCTCCTATCAGTGCTCTTTCATTTAGACTGATTTAACTAATTTGTGTTTCCATTCAAAGCAAAGCTTCATAGCCTTCTGGATATGTAGAACCTATTGGAAACTCTCAAGTTCTAAACTATGCCCAACTTTGCTGGGTTAAGCCAAATTATCTAATCTTCCACAAAAATAGGAATAATGCTGAAATTCTACAGTTGATGAGTGAAAGAAATAGAAGAAAAAGAAAAACGTGTCCATGCCCTGTGCAGGAGCATCACCTGGAAAGTTATGGCATTCTTTTTGGTGGGTCGATTGAGCACGATCTTCGTGATGCCATCTTCAGAGGTCACCACAATGTCCTTAGACCCCTGGACTTTCTCATCGGCTTCATGCTTTCCCTGGCTAGAGGCTTCAGATGAGGGACTCAGACTGGACACCAGATCCACATAGTTCTGCCTGGCAGTTTCCTGTGGGTGACAAAGACCTCAGTCTTTAAAATAAGCAATTTGAGAAACATACTATGCTAATAAACACCACTATGCAATACAGAACAGAGCCTTTGATTCAACAGAGGTACACCACGACTTCAAAGATCGTGGGACAGGTGACCCATATGTGTAATTCCAGCCACTGGGAGGCTGAGGTAGAAAAATTGTTGAGTTCGAGGCCAATCTAATGTGTGTGTGTGTGGCAATAAAAAACAATTCAAAGGCTCATTCAGAGAGATTAGATGTGGGGGAAAAGCTTCTAGTGAGTTCTAGTTAATAACAGTCAACAAACTTACCTTTGGCAGGCTGCCAAGTGCATTCCATGCTTCCCACTTGGCTTTATTGACTAGGTCGAACACCCCTGGCTTAGGCATATTACAGGGTCCGTCTGTGGCCTATAAAGAGCACGGGGGCGGGGAGGGGGTTAATATGGAAGAGAAAGCTTTTGAGAAAGTGGTTCTAGAAACCTAAGAGTTCATTAATTTTGTATTCCTGGCCAGTTGTCACAGGAAGTGAAAACACTGAGTCAATATTCAAGTCCAGGACAGTTAGAAGTCTACACCATATTCTAAAGTCCTATCTATGGGGACAGAACCAGAACTTTAGTGGCAAACTCCTGCTAACTGCTCAAAGGGCTGTAGCTGGTGCAGGTAGGGATGGGGTCTTCAGTTCCTGGTCCTCAGGAAGCTTAGCTAAGTGCCACTCCAGGAAATACAAAGAAAACTAATTTTGTTTGAGGATAGATGGATTGAGTATCCTAAAATGAATAAGTACCCCATGCAGCTAGTTTTCAGAAGTTATTTTTAAACAATTAAAAATTTATAAATTTTGTCCTAGAGTTAGTTAAAGGAAGACAGAAGATGCATGAAAGTCACAGTCAGTGGAGGCTCATACTAAGTCACCCAATGGAGTCAACCATCTGCGAAGTTACAGGGAATTGAGTTGACAAAGGGCTGCTCTTCCCTCTGCCAATGGGAACCTAAGGACCCACCGAAGACTATGGACAGTGGCTTCTATTTGTTTCTAGTCCTTGCATTTCTCCATCTTGACTGTTGACTGGTCCTAACTCCTGACAGACTGCAAAGCTTAGGACTGGGCAGTTTCTAAGATCACCTCAGTTCAAATCCACTAGAAAGACTCCCAGTACCCTTGCAAGCTGTGGTATTCATGGTATAGTTCCTCACAGGCAAAGGGCAGAGACTTAAGCCACAGGCAAAGGCTCACATGAAAGAGTTCAGAGGCAAGTCAATGTGACACTTCTCTTGTCCTCTCCCCAGGAGTCAGGGAGGAGGAATACCCCAGACTGATGGATATATGACAATACACATGGAGTATTGACAAGACATTCTCTGCAGCTTCCATGTCCAGTCTTTGCCAGAGCCCTAACCCATGGGCAAACCTGCCTACCCTGAGACCACCCTGTATCCTAAATGGACTGCTAGACTTTCCAGGCAAACAAAGCTGCTTGTACCAGGCATGACAGTTCATGGGGTTAGAGAATTCCTCCTAGCAGCTGAGGGCAAAGTCTTTTTGAACAAGTAAAGTTCTTGAATATACACATCCATTTCTTAGTTAGGGTTTCTATTGCTGTGATAAAAATACCATGTCCAAAAGCAACTTTGGGAGGACAGGGTTTATTTGAGCTCACAACACTCAGGTCTCATTCCATACATCACAGAAGTCAGGGCAGCAAATGAAAACAGGAACCTGGAGACAGGAACTGAAGCAGAAGCCAGGGGGGAATGCTGTTTACTGGCTTGCTCAGCCTGCTCTCTGATACATTCCACATCAAACATTGATCAAGAAAACGCCCAACAGACTTGCGTACCAGCCAATCTCATTGAGACATTTTCTCAGTAAGTCCCTCTTCCCAGATGACTCTAGCTTATGTCAAGCTAACAAAGCAAAACAACCAGGACACCCACATAAAGAGACACTTATGCTAATCACCTAGTAGAAATGACAAAACTAATAAATGATAACACAAGAGTCCAGGGTGGCAGACACATGAGTGAAGTCTTTGCCATTGCAACCTTTAGTTCCTCAATGGTTATAAAATTTTTTCAAACAAATATATGAGTTATAATATCCAATTAATCATTCAAACAGTTATTAAATTTTACTTTATGTGCTTCACCTATTTTCTTTTTTGCTTTAATTGGCTTCAAACATCCCAAACACCATACTATTTCACCCTTAAAAACTTACTATCCATTTCCCCAGAGCACCAACATTTTACTATATAATCATGGCACCATTAACAATAATCCAGGACACCACTGAATAATAGTTGGTGAAACTGAGTCAATATTCAGATTTCTCCAATTGCCCTGAAACATCTTTTCAGCGAATTATTTTAATCAGGAAGGACTCAAACATGTAAACATGAATGTGATTGTCAAATCTTTCAAATCTCTTTATTCTGGAGAGAAGCAGAGGGGCCACTCTGTGCTTTGATAGTATATCAAGACCTGACATAAAAAGCAGACCAAAACAAAGCCTGCAGCACACACTCCAAAGGGCTGTCAGCCATGCAGCCCAACCAATCAAGCTGCCTGTAAGAAACATATCAGTTTCAGGCATCATTTGTTCAAAATGTGTTGAAATAACATCAGACCTCAGGCTATTACCTGCTTATACAGCGCGTAGAGTTTAAGCTTCACTTGGTTTCCTGGGTCCTTTTTCAAGAGTTTCACTTGGTTCATGGCATTTTCAAAGTCCTGCTGACTGGCTCTCATAGTTGGTCTGCCCAGGTGCACCTGAGCCACTTGGAACCTAAAGACCTGCAGAAGACTGCAAAGAGTGTTTTCTATTTGTTCCTAGCCCTTCATTGCTGCAGCAGAATTACCGATTGGTCCCAACCCCTATTAATCAGAATGACGTGCTTATCTGCAGCATTTTCTCAAAGTAAGCAACTTCCCACAGACTGGTACACACTTATTCAAATGAAGGTAGGTTCTGCCTTTTGAGGAAGTCACTCATGCCACCGCTTCACTGCAAGCACCAGGTTCCAGGCTTTGCTCCTGATGAGCAGGTTCTTTGGGCTGTTAAATATGGGTCGCTCTCTCCAGCCACTTCTCTCAGTATAGCGAACCGATTGATTGAAACCCACGCTGCTGATAACGGGCTGCAAGTGTGCGGCGGCGCTCAGCTAACTAGCACTCTTGGATGTAGTGTCGCCTTAGCCAAGGCACTGAGCGCCCTAGGAAGTTCCGGGCTGGGCCTGCAGGCATGGGCGCCGCCGGGACCAGAGCTCGCAACTCTCTCTGGTGGGCAAAGGTGGTCAGAGTGCGTCCTTCCTTACCCTTCCAGATTCAGCAGAGGAAGGACATTCGAGGTCACTCTTTAGAGCTCTCGAGCTGGGACACCGCCAAAGGAGTATCCTTCTGTCCTGCTAGCCAGACCAGGTGACAGAGCGGGCGGCTCCGCGGGCGGGCGACAACCCCCCTGGCAACTTCAGGCCAGAAAGCCGAGGCTGCAAGCTTACCTCGGACACCAGCACCGTGCCGGTCTCCAGGTCATTGCCGCCATAGCTAGATGCTCAGGACAAATTGATCCCTGAGGCTTAGGCCCGGCTGAAACTGCCCAGCGAGAACGGGATGGGGGCGGAGCCAGATGTGAGCTCCCGGTGTGGGCGGAGCCAGGGGGTGAGCTCGGGCGGTGAGAGGAGCCGGGGACTATAAGGCGGGCTGAGCACAGCTAAGATGCAAGCCCCGGGGGGAAGGCGTGTAGCTGGCCGCTCCTTCAGAGGGGAGAATGGGCGGGTTTCGGGGAGGAGCCCAGAATTCCTGGACCAGGTCCAACTTGGTACAAAGGTGACTGGCACAAGACTGGGCAAAGAGGGCTGGAAGCAGGGTACCGAGACAGATACTGGGCTCTGGGAATTTTAATCAGAGATCCTAAGCATATTCATTCAGAAACTGGACCATTTCTCAGCAGGTTCAGTTGGGAGCACATTTCTGAGCACGCTCAGTTTAAGGTAATGGAACATATGTTTAAAAGATTAAACGGACAAGAATCCCCTGGACGTGCTTATCTTGCACAATAAAGTTTAAGCTGAACATGGAAGGACACTGTATAAACTGCATTAATGTAGACGTTCTTGGAGCAGAGGCCATGTGTAAACAGTGTCTGACTGGAGACTGGCGTGGGGGTGGGGCAGTTCTCAATGAAAGGGAACCACTCTGGGTTGGGTAGCACTCCATTTAAGTGTGAGGATCACTGTGTCTAGGCTAAGGAGTTTGGATTCTGTGCTAAGTATACTAGAGAGCTATAGAAAAGCTAATTAGTGGGCTAGAGAGTTGCCTCGGCTGTTTGAGAACGTTTGTTGCTCTTGCAGAGGACCCGGGTTTGGTTTCCCTGAACCTACATGGTGGCTCATAACCATTCATAACTCCAGGTCCAGGGGAACAGACCCCATCTTTCTGACCTCAGCAGGCACCAAACACGCAGACAATGTGCATACATACAGGTATGCGAAATCAACCACACATAAATCAACACATAGACAAAGTTAAATAAAGAAGTTAAATACTTTTTTTTTTTTTTTAAGATCAGATTGGCATGCTTTTGATGTAGTTCACAGTGCAGTCAGAGTTGGCCAGTACATCCCCTGAAGGTATTGTTTCTGGACAAGAGTAAGAATGGCAGAATCCTCAAGACCTCAGCCAGAGAGATCTAATAGCAAGGTTCTTATGAAGACCTTGGGGGAAGGTCTCTCAATTAGATCCTACCTTAGAGGCTAACTGCAGGGATCAATGTTGCCCAAGAAGGGATTTGATGAAGAATTCCAGGCCTAGCTGTCACAAGAGCCAAGGAAAAGTTTCAAACGACACTGAATCTTGGGGGTTCTATTTCATCGTATATGCTCAGTATTTTGGAAGATGTTTCTTGAGATGGTGGCATAGCACCTATGATGACTGATGAACTTGTCAGCCATAGTGATTGTTTTTATTTATGATATTAAAATCTCATCGGGTCATGTTATTATCATGGCATATAAAATTCTCCCACATATAGTGTCAGGAATGATTCTGACTTGCCCAATCAACAGCAAAAGCTAGAAATCTGAAAGAAGCCTGAGTCCCCCCTGTCTCCCTGCTGGCTCCCCCCTGTGGACCTGTTGTCATTCCATAGCTGTTTCCTGACTTTATCTCCCCTCCCCCACCCCATTGGGTCCTTCAGGTCTCACAGTTTCTGCATTGCTGTTACTTGACCAGCACTGACTGGCTTTGCTCTGATTCCCACCTCTGCAGCCCGATTCCCTCCTGCTCTCCGACTGACCTCCCTACACCTTAAATCTGACTGCTGTGGTTTGAACTGGGCCCCAGAGTTCTTGTTTGGGAAACATCTCTCAGTTCCTGTGTCGATGGCATTTGGAGGTAAGACCTTTGAGTAGTGACAAGCAGCATGAAGGCCCTGGCCAGTTGCCAGAACCTTGACAATTAGACTTGCCAGCTTCCAGCATGCTGAACTGGCTTCTGTTGTCTGTAATTTTTCCAGCTGGTGGCATTGGGTTGTAGAAACATAAAATGGATCAAGACACTGACATGACTCACAACATTCTCTTGATCCTTCCTCTGTCACTGGAACCTTGTGTGGGTCCCTTTGCCTAATAAGTAAACCAAA